CACTCTAGCCCGGGCAACAAAGCGAGACTCTGTCTCAAAAAATAAATAAATAAATAAGAAATAAATAAATAAAAGCCAGCATAAAAGACGATACAACTGATACAACCGGTCACTCCTAAAATCTAATACTAAGGAATTAAATTTTCTTCAAATAATGCCATCCACATAATGCTAAGAACAAATCCTTAACAACTTAAAACAAGGTTAAACTTTCTCTAAACCTTATATGACATTTGGCTTGTGATTCCGCCATGAACTGGTTTTGATAAGAAAGTGACATTCACACAGCAGAAGCCATTACTAGGTCAATTTTTATAACAAATTAGTTCATAAACCTCAAAAACCAAAAAAAGATGCTGTACTAAAAATACTTATTCCCTCGTGTATTATGAAGTCCAGCCAATTTTTACATTATACAACCCAGGTATTGAGGTCATAGTTTTTCATTATTGCCTCATTTTCAAAAGAAGGCCTACTTACTAACCACACTGAGAGGCCATCTACCATCTCAATACCGACCTATTTGTATGAAGTTTTGAGGGCTCTTAGGCAGTCATTTTCTTAAAGAAATTTATAATTTGTTAATCATATAGTCCCAAAAGAATGTTTATTTTAAAAATAAGCTTAATCTAAAAAATTATAGAACTATCTTAGTGAAAAAGAACCTTTTTATGGTGAACTAATTTCACTAACATATGCATATTTAAAATTACAGATCTAGAAAATAACAAGAGAAATTGTTGTCACTGTAGAGAGAGGAATAAGGTATATAACTCAGATTTTACTGACACACAATACTATTTGCTATACTCAAGGGTAGAACTAGCCTATAGTTTAAAGAAAGATATTACTAGACAAAATGGCCTTATTTTAAAATGGTTTTACTAGGAGAGGCCCCAAATATGGACCCTATAAACAGTGTTATGCATGAGCATATACTTACACTCTCAATTTTTTTTCCTAATAGATTACTTACAGTAACAAAATTAAGTTCTTTCATCACATCATCAATGATTCCTCGACGTCTAAGGGCTTTGATCAAATCTTCTGTTGATAAATGTTGTTGATCGGGTGCCAATTCTTCTCGTATAGTCTCAGCAAGGATTTCTCTTATCCTTCCATGGACATCCATCTACGTAGAAAACTTGCATTATAATTTAATTACAAAGTCAAATATTGCTTCTCATGTTTTAGAATTCTTGAGCTAATAGTAAAAAACCTACAATTATTACCCCAACTGAATAAAAGTAAGCTTTTAAAAGATGAAACTTTTGAGTACGAATTCTAGAAATAATCTCTACTGGTTATCTGCTACCTTTGTTACAATTTCCCCACAAGTAACACTCCACCGAAACAAATCTTTTGAGAGAAAAGTATAGTATAAGTAGAAGAACACAGACCTGGAGCAGGCAGATCAAAGTATGATGTTATGACTTTCCTACTTTAATCCAATGATAAATCGATCAGCTTGCAACTTAGCGGTATGTGTAACCTTTAGCTAACTTATTTACTCTTTGTAAATGTTTCCTCAGCTGTAAGATGGAAAAACTAGTGCCCTGTCACAAAGGGGTTGTGAGGATTAGACAAAAGATGCTCGAAACCTAGAACAAAACTTGGCTTACACGCGCACCGTGCACGCTGGTGTTTATCACTTCAGCAGATGGCATTCAGGGGAGCGCCTCGCACACTGCGGGTTCCGGTGGCGCTCCCAAGTATTCCAAACAGTTTTGTTAAAAATCCTTCAGTAACTTCTTTTCCATGACTTCCTTGTGAATTGCTGATCGAAGCTCCTGGGTCTACTTCTACAATGCCCTTACGTTTCATCCTCAAAGTAACCCTGATATCTCACCTCGGAATATCAACCTGCTCCAAACACAGCTTACACTCGATTAGACTTTCAGAAATCGCTCACTAAACGCTCCATTTTCGGCGTCTTATAACCGAAACCGTTCCGTCACCTCAGACTCTCACTGGCACTCCTCGGCTTGTTCGCTTTTACGGAGGCTAGAAAGCTCTTCCGGCTCCACACTCGACGTTCTGCCCACCTCGCGCTCTGCGTCCCGCAGCCCTTGCTCGAGTCCTGGCAAAAAGGCGCCGTGGCCGAGGGCTGCCAGGCTGGGGGCGCGGGCGCTGCGGGCAGGCAAGGCCCTGGCTCGGCCTGCAGCGGTCACTCCCCGCGCCCGGGCCGCTCTCACCTTGCTCAGCTGCTGGTGGATGAGCTGCTTCAGTTCGGCGGCTTTCTCCGGAGGCAGCGACATGTCGGCAGCCGGCGCTTCCCAGCCGCTTCTCCCCGCCTCAGACGCCCCAACCGCGCCGCGCGCCCGGCCCGGCCAGGGAGCGTCAGTACCGGCTGGAGCACAAAGCGGCGCAGCCTCTCGCCTCGCGCGGCTCCCGAGGGGTGGGGGGGAGCGACGCCGCGTCAGGCCCGGGGCTGGGCGGGAACCGAGGCCGCGGCGGCGGCCGTGCTAACTGTTTTCAAACGGTGGCGGACTAACAGGGCTCGGGGCTGTCCCCCGCGCTGCCTGCTCATCTCCGCCTCCGCTCCACCTTCCACGAGCCCTGCACCCCGCGACCTCAGCGCACCCCATCGCCTTGCCTTGCCGAAGGCGCTACCGGTCCCCCTACTCACCCACCTCCCGCGGCCTCTTTCTGCCCCCGGGACCGGCAGGTAGCTGGACAGGCCCTCAGCATCGGGCGCCGGGGGATTCGAAGGACCCCGTCCGCCTCGCGTGAGGCCCCAGGGACTCCGGCGCGCGGATCCGGCTCCAAGCTCGGGTAGCCGCATCCCCGCGGTCCTCGTCTTTCCAGGCCCGCTCTTACCCTCTTTCCCCCAAACCCGCTGCGACCATGTTTGTTCCCTGCGGGGAGTCGGTCCCCGACCTTACGGGCTTCACCCTCCTGATGGTGAGTCTCCGCTGGAGCTTTGGGCTGCTACCTCCCGGGAGGTCTCTGCGGTGTCACCACCCTCACCCAGCGTGTGTCGCGGGGCCTTGGGAGAAAGAAGGCACTAGTTTCTGTTTCAGGTTCTCAGCCTGAAAAAATAGGAGGTTGTCGGTGGAGGCAGCGGACCAAAAAGAACCTTTGTTGGCGCTGTAATTAAAACATATTCAAGGCCGGGCGCGCTGGCTCACGCCTGTAATCCTGGCTCTCTGGGAGGCCGAGGCGGGCGGATTGTTTGAGCTCAGGAGTTCGAGACCAGCCTGGGCAAGAGCGAGACCCCCGTCTCTACTAAAA